TCCCAATTTCGGTCAGTTGATCAAAATAGATGTATCAACACATATGCTTAGGAAGTATTTTTCCTTTACGATAATGAGTTGGATTGGGCTAGATATTGATATCCAATTGTGAGCATTATTTTCTGTGTAATATTCCTTGACTCTTAAATTGACTTCCCGATTGGCTCTCTCAATTAAGTAGCATTCAGAATGGCACAGGATAATCGCAGAGGCCTAATGTTGCATCACACAATTTCACCGGATTTGAAACTCTTTTTTATTAGCTCAACTGTATTAGATTATTGTCTTAATTGATTTAGAATTAATTTTCAGATTCTAATTACCTGGTTCGAGCCGATCCTCTTGAGCTGTGTGGTTACCACCCCTGTAAGGTGTCCAAATGTGTAACAGAACCTACGGCAATGTGCGTCAGCAACTCAAAATGTAAACCGATCTTCTTCGACAGGGATGGAAATATAATCAGCTCTTGTAAAGGTATGGAGACAAAACGAAAAGAAATATGTAAAAACACTTCATTGATAATACGGTAATAAACTAAGAACCGTACAAAAAAAGGGGTAAAACTCTTGGGAAAACTTAAATTTCCGTTTAACAGGTAATAGCTTAACTCTTTACGCCCTGGCATCAGGGTGCATAACCTACACTTTGTTCTCTGTACATTTCCTATAGTGGCGAGAAGGAGAGTTTGTTTACAGTCAAAAACTTCTTATGGTGAATCATTTCCTTTATTCTCGTGAATTTACAAATGTGACCAGGTGTTTTAATCACAATGCCGCTCGAGCTTATGGTATTTCAGAACTAACTTTCAGTTCATCACACACCTAAGTTTGTTGCATGTCTAATAACTCCGTATGCTTTTTTGCCATGTAGGAGACGCCGTAGTCCTATCGATTCCTCCAGAACGAGTTTGCCGATTTAACCCTTGTGAAAAGTCTGCTTGTTACACCTACCAAGCTGAACGCTGCGTTGTGTCTTACGGATGCAAACCTATCTTCTTTGGAGTCAATGGTCAGCGACTTAACTGCAGAGGTAAAGTGTGTTATCATCAAGCCAGTACTTCTCTTGATGGACTTCATGAGGCTATTCATGGGTCTGTTTTCGGCTTAAAGGTCTGTATATAAGAGTGAAGTTTTAACAATTTAGGATATTTATGGAAAGTGATAAAAAACCAATTGGGACTAGGTTTAAAGACATTTCAAAGGAAATATTAGTAAGAGTAAGTGTGTCCATCTACTGGTACTTTTACTTATTATTATTAAAAACAGACACCTTAATAAAGGCACTCACTCATTCCTTCAGTCATTTATTATTCATTCATTTATCAACTCATTCGCCCATTTTTCATTCATTCATATATCTTTCATTCATTAATTCACTCTTTCGCCATTCATTTTTTCATACATCAGGCATATTGACGGTGCCAGCGATGGATGCATGCGGCTTCAATCCTTGCTTTGAAAAAGCATGTAAAGTTGATCTCACAGCTCGCTGTGTGACTGACGCACATTGTAAACCAACCTTCATTACCACGACTGAGCGAATACTGGACGAATGTGTAGGTAAACAAATTATTTGAATGATTTATCGGGTGATAGACGGTTGACTCTTTAAGTCGCTGGATTATCAGAAGAGAATATATATTATAATACAATAGTAACATTTTCAATTTGAAGCCGAGTGAAGTCAAAGATTTTTTTTCATTCTACCTCTTTACGCTGTCCATTTGGTAAACGAAAAACACCTGATATCCCTTTCAAACAAATAGCCACAAAGCTAAGACCAATCGCCACCGGATCACTTCGTTTTTTCCCAGAATTCTCCCCGGTTCCTTATTCTTATTGGTGGTAAAATAACTTTTACAATCTTTTTCTTCCCTCTCAAGAGGACCAAGACGATGACGATAAAGAAGGCGACGAGGAACACGACGAGACAGATAGTACTGAGGAAGCTGGAGGAAACGATCCTGATGTTGAAGACGTCTCGAATTCAGACAACGATAGTGATGGTGATAGCAATGAAAATAATGACGACGATGATGACGATGGCGAAAATGAGAACCACAAACATAGGAAACGTAAATTGCGTAAGAAAATTCACGTTGAGGATGATGAGGAAGAAGACGATGCAATCAAGAAAACAAAGACAGTTGATAACGATGACGATGCTGCTAATTCTAAAAAAAAGACTGAAACTCCGGTGGTTCATTTAAATGACGATTCGTTACATCATGGTTTGGTCAGCGGTATGGGTTCTGAAATATCATTTGTCTCAAAGCATGGGCCTGCTAAGTTCTTCTGGCTTAAGGGCGATGGCAAAGGTTCAAAAAATAATACTGAAATGTAAGAACAAGGGGTTATAGTTCGCGATTGTTATAATGTGGGTAGTAGTGGCTTTATAAATAACTAAATAAATAACCACTAACTAACTTTTAGTTCATCATGACCATTGATCGTTATTTTTCAGGCTCGTCATAGAAGCAGAGGGTAGCAAGAAATCTTCAGTACTATCTCCTCTGAGGTCTCAAAGATTAAAATCGAAAAGAAAGTCCATAAGGTAATTTTAAAAGGAGATTTTAAATAAGTTATATTCGTTAAGAGTAAGTAGAACTTATTACACTGTTTCGACCTTTGAATGTAATATAAGTTTGGTGATTTATATTGGTTTGGTTTATGGAAACTTGTTTCCCATTTGTTTGTTTGTTTGTTTGTTTGTTTGTTTGTTTTTTAACAGATACAATCAAAAAGCATCACGTAAGCAAATCGCCTGAAGAAGAATACTTCCAAGCTTGAATCTCAGACACATTTCAATCTTTATTTGACTCGGCCTATCGTTTCATTCAGGGATTCTCTTTCACGTTGTGATCTACACTTTTCTTCAACCATAAAATGTTTTAATAGCCTTGTAGACATAATAATCTGTTTAACTAAACAACTTATGACATAGCTGTACTGTCTTAGTCATTTCTTTGCAACTTTTGAATAAAGTATTGCGTTTTTTTGGTATGTATTTGTATGCTTTACTGATCAGACAAACAATTGCACGTTCTTTAGGGCTAAGAAATTCTCCCTATTTTCACTACTGCTTAAGTAGTGTTCAATACTCCGAAGATCGCTTTCATTTTCGTCTCTGAAACTGCAATTCACACATATGATTTTCATATATTTACAGTCATTGATTTATCACTAAACGGATTTATTACGAACCAACACAACGAACAGCTCCCAGTTGGATTATTAGCTCAGTTGGTGGAGCACTGCACCAGTAACGCAAAGGTCATGAGTTCAAATCCCGTACAGGCCTGAATTTTTTCAGGCCTTATTTTAACCACTGAATAAGTGGTGTTCATTACTATAAAGATCGATTGCATATTTATTTAGAAAAACTGACCATTTTATTCAAAGATTAGGCATAGCCTCATTTAAGAATTTGTATTGTTCCCGATATTCATGTGCCTATCTCTCCAGAAAGGTGGATTTCCAGGACAAATTGCAACTCATTAGAAAGAGCGTATTGAATGTAAAAGCTCAAAAGCGAGCTCTTTTGTGGGCCGAGAACAATGGAAAACTGTTAATTGACCCTTCCCTATTGACACAAGAGACTCATTAACTTATTAACAAATTTCTATTGTTTCAGTATTCATGGGCTCAAATATCCGTCAAAGAGGGGAATTCTGGGACAATTTATAGCTCGTTAGATAGATCAAGTTAAGCTGTCTGTTGTGTCAAAGTTCCTGTTCCTCTGTGGGCCAGGGAAATCTCCTCTGAATATTGAAACAAAATAATTTTGTTAATGAGGAAAGTTACCCATAAGCTCATTAACCAAATGTCTATTGTTTCAATATTCATGTGCTTATATTTGGGTCAAAAGAGGGGAATTTCGGGGCAACTCGAAAATTTCATTTAAGTGTCAAAATCAGATCTCGCTAGTAGGCCGAGAAAATCTTTTGTGAATATTTAAACAAAATAATTTTGTTAATGAGCAAAGTGAATCTCTAGAACATGGGTTCGTCGGAAAGACTATGATCAGCTTTCAATTTCATTTAAGTGTCAAAGTTAGATCTTGCTCGTAGGCCGAGAAAATCTTTTGTGAATATTCAAACAAAAGAATTTTGTTAATAAGCAAAGCGAATCTCTAGAAGATGGGTTAGCTCGAGTTCCCCAAAAGCTCATTAACCATTATCTGTTGTTTCAATATACATGGGCTTATATCTCGGTCAAAAAAGGGAATTTCGGGGCAATTCATAGCTGGTCGGAAAGACCAATATAAGCTTTCTTTTGTGTGCAAACTTCAAAGACATTGTTAATTTGTGGGGCTAGAAAATCTCCTCTGAATATTGGAACAAACGAATTTTGTTAATCATCAAAATTGACATCTTAAACTAGAATTAGCACGAAGGACTCAAGAGTTCGTTAACCAATTTCTATTGTCTCCTCATTCGTGTCAGTCAGAAAGAGGATTTTCGGCACAATTCATTGCGGGTTTAGAGTGGGAATTAGCCGTCTATTGTGTCAAAGTAACAGCTCGAACGTAGGCGTAGATTATCTGCTCTAAATATTCAAATATGAGAATTTTGTAAATCAGCAAAGTGCACCCTTAGAACTGGGTTTAGCTCGAGTTCCCCAAAAGCTCATTAACTAATTTATATTGTTTCAATATTTATGGTCTTATACCTTAATCAGAGAGAGGATTTTCGGTGTAAATAATAGCGCGATAGAAAAAGTATGATTAGATGTCTATTGTTTTTAAGTGTCAAAAATACAGCTCGCTCGGGAGCCGAGAAAAATTTTCCCTGAATATTCAAACAATAGAATTTTGTTAAAGAACAAAATTGGCCGTTTTTCGCATGGATTAATGCTCCAAAGATCATTAATGAATTGCTATCAATTCAATGTTCATGTGCTGGAGAAAAGAGGATTTTCATGAACAAGATTAGCTGTCGACTGTGTGCAAAAGGCCAAAGTGGGAGCTCCTTTGTGGGGAGAAAGAGACGAGAATCAATATAAGGTTTATAATTATATTTATTAGCATATAGCAGACGAGAAACATCAAATAAAAACATGGAAATTCAACAAATATCATTGAATCTAAGAAATGAGCTTCCGCTACAGAGACGTTGTGATCCTTCTAAAATAAATGCTACGATGAATTTCTATCTGAAAAAAAGAAAAAAAAATGACGAGAAATAGTTTAAGTATTTGGCAAGTTTCATTCCGTTTATGATTGACCGAGAAGTGAAAAATGCGCACTTCGATTGAGTGCCGTAAAACGAACACCAATGTAATCACAACAGCCAATGAAAACTCAAGGTTACAGCAGGCGAACTGCCTGAAACGCAGGAAAACGCGAGAGACTAAGTCGCAAGCACTACTAGTAAAATTCCGGTTTACTTTCCACATTCAATTCAAAATAGATCTAAAACTCATTGTATGTTTCAGACTGAGCTTGAAGTTGTTCTTTCTGGGTTGGCCTCGCATTGCGGATTATTTGATTTTTTCCGTTCATACTACGTCACCTGCGTACGCCAAGTTCTCTCTCATTTCTCTTGACCCTTAATGGTACTTGAAAACTACTTTAAGGGTTTTCATAGATCCAATAAACAGCATTTACTCTATCTTTTACTGAATGGTATTTACCTAGGTCTTCTTGTTTTGTGGTCGACTGTTTTGGCTTTTTGGCGCACTCATAGCTGAAAAGAGAAAATGAAAATACCTTCCTCTTAACCCTATATATCTTAACAGGGTTTGCATGAAATTTTCCCCAAAAGGATCACCCTTAATGAAACATTACGGCAACGAGAATAAATGACATTAAAAGCAACTCAAGAATTTCTTGCTTTTTAATCAAAATCATATGAGAAATGGCAAAGGAAAAGCATGGAGAACATGTTTACTGATGGTAGAGCGTAGAGGATTAAACGACAATAAAATTTCTTTGGCACCAAATTAATCATAAATGTAACTCTGTAATGATCGTGATTTTTGTCTATTTTCCCAACACAAAAACATTCCTTATTAAAACTGTCATAGTTACATTTAAACCAGGTGACATTTCAGGACCAATAAGATTCATGAGATAACAACGACAAAAAACCAAATTCTATAGTACATACTCTGTGAAGGTAGCTATCTACCAGCCATACAAAACATAATTTGGCCAGTCAAATTTTGAAATATTTCAAAAGGAATCATCTTTAAAATAATGAGCAAATAATGAGAAGTTAAGAGAAACATGAAAATCAAGAAACTAACCTGATTTCAAGTCTTCTAGTGACAGTTCTCTCTCCCAAAGTGCCAAGTTGCTGATTCTTAATGGGAATCTGTAAATTGGTTTTTCCGAGTTGTTTGGTCGACCGATATCAAAGGTTGTGAACGAGTCTAGAGGTCTGGAAACTAGAGCAGGGTTTCCACTGGTCACGTGGGTACCATTGACATACAGCTTGAGTTGACCCGCCTCCCGCCAAGTGAAAGCGAGGTTGAACCATCCGCTCGGCAGAACAGGTGTGTCGAGTTTCCACTGCTTGTTTTTCGTGCTGAGAATAACAATATATTTGTTGGCAAGATATACCACTGCAAAACCGCGGGACTTGGTGGACTGGCCACCACTAGACATGATGTAGGAACTGGTCGTGTTAGTCAGTGAAGTCTTGTTGAGTTTGATCCAGGCCATCACCGTCATTCCTTTATCAGAGCAATGTCCAGGATCACTGAAGCAGGTAGCTAAAGAAAAATAAAATATACTCGTGATGAACGCGTCACTCACTAAAATACAGAACAAGCTTGTGTTGCGAATCTTTCTATCCCCTTCATGAAACCTTTCCATAAAATAACAATAAATGACACAAGCTATGGGAAGAGACAAACTTAAAAGCTCGGAGATTATGTGTTCACAAACTCTTTAAACTAGTTTCCAAGGGAGTGTTCAGCACAGTAGAAGTGAATATCACAATTCATATATTTGCAGTACAATTGAGGGGTAAGTGTTAAGGAAAGTGTCCCCCATAATCAATTTTATTTTTTTTGTTTCACATGAAATCAAATTATACTTATATCATGCTATTAAAGAAATTTTAAAGAACCTAACGACTAAGACAACAAAATCTTAAAGACGAATTCAAAAGGATAGAAGGTTTTCAAGAGTCTCACCATTGGTTTCTTTAAGAGACAACCATCCACCATTAGTGTCAGCGACTAAGCCCGCATCAGTTGTGTTTTTCATGTAGGCTCCGCCCTCGAGGTGGATAACACGATTGTGAATTTTATCCAATGCTTCTGAGTTGTTTAAGGGTGACACAAAGTGCCACAAGCAGCTGGGGGTCAGATCTGTTTGATTATCTGTTACAAAAAAGTATTGATAGATTAACTTTGGAATTCGCTTGGCAAACTAAACGTTGGCCTGCGCTACTGACCGGTGCGGGAAGTATAAAAAAACGACGCATTTAAGGCGCAATTTTACCCAGAATACCTCGAATCAGTAGCCAATTCCACTGGTTTGTGATTCTATTTAGAATGATAACTAAGACATTTCCAACTTATTCGAAAATTCGAC